TTAATACCCTTTTTTGCTCTATCTATGTAAATTGTTCCAGCGTGTATTTATCTCCTTGAGATTTATTCTTTATTATTGATCATTTTTGTAGTTGAATCGCATTGCTAATATCTCACTGAACTATTAGATGAAGATGAACTGTTGATGACAACGCATCGTTTCACGACTGAGATTTTGTTTGAATGAATTCAGTGTTATACCTAATCAACAAACTAATATGGAATTACTTACTACCACAGTGCCCAAGTTTTATATATATGTCAGTTTTATATTGTTTGGATTTTGAACACTCCTCTGGGAATATTCTATCTGATTCACACGCATCTCATGACCTTCCTTTTGATTAACTCATTTCGTTATACAGCATCTACTTTGTACCTGAGAAACTCCTGGACTGTGTAGCGGCATTATAGAAGTAATTTTGCCAAGTCCACAGCAACCTGGGGAGAGGGAGGGTTTAGTGCGGGCTTAACAGTTTCAACTCCTACAAGTACAACAATATCTTTTGAAACTCAAACTGGTAAAGATCGAAGCCCTGAATTCCACTGGGAACGCGAAATAAGGAGAAATAGTATAATTACGGTTTAATTTCATTATTTATTATTATTTAAGATGCATCAAAATATAATAAGAAAGTAAGTAAGTTCGACTTCAGAAGTTATTTAGCGTACATTTATGCTTACTATAGCACAGGCGTAGAGTTATTCTGAGTAGCCCGGAATAAAACGATTAAATGGGTTCGTTTGTACCATACGTGTATCCTGCAGTTGAGATCCAGCATAGAGAATTCGTCTTAGGTAGGATCTTGTACTCATGGATAGTATTAATGATCACAAAAAATTACAAAACTGAAATCGTGAAGTCTTTTGGCAGATTCCCATTGGAATCACTTTCACAAAGGTGAGTCAAAGTGGTATATAACAGAGCTCTGCCTGAATAATGCATGGTCAAAAAGAAAAGCGTGAATATGCGGAGTAAGGCAAGAAGTAATTGCGAACAGAACTCTCAACAGAGTAGCATATATCCAACCAGTACAGTTTAATGATAGGAAGAGAATCACTATAGACAAAATATAGTGTTAACACAATAAATAAAATCCTATTTCATGGAGGATTTCATCATGAGCTGACATCAGTTAGAGAACCACTGGAAAACCTGGGAGTACTGGACAGCCGTTTCGTCCTAGTTTGGGGCTCTTCAGCAGTACGCAGCACAGGGGTTCGGACCCAGTACCTTCCGGTTACAAGGCGAGCTCGTATACCATTACGCCACTGGGACCCGATCCAATGGCTAGTTCATGAATTCTAACTTCTGCCAATTCACGACATAGCGCAACCGCCAGCCAATGTCAGAAGTTAGATTTCAAGGAACATTGGGTCGGGTCCCAGTGGCTTGATGTTATACGAGTTCGCCTTGCAAACGGAAGGCACTGGGTTCGAATCCCGCCGGGTGCGTACCACTGAAGGGAGTCCCAAACTAGGACGAAGCAGCTGTCCAGTACTCCCAGGTTTTCCAATGGTTCTCTAACTGATGTCGGCTCATGGTGAAATCCTCCATGCAATCAAACAAAATCCCAACGAAACCAATACTTGAGAATCCTATTTAATGAAAATAAATAATCAAGTTGCATGACTCATGATTGGACAAGATTTTAAAAAACAAGAGGTGTCCCTTTATTTATAAACATTGTTATGTTAATTTCGATTAATTTCCCTGAAGAAGTTCGGACCAGATTGCCGAACGAAACGTTGGAATTAATCATTTCAATTTCGCTGAGATTTTACAAATACAACTTTATAAGAAGTTTACACATTGTGAATATAGTAAAACAATATACTACCTACTACTTGTCAGTAGTATAAATTCGAATGCACAGAAACCAGTGGTGGGAATGCTTGGCTATGAAGTTAAAAAGAAGAATCCAAATCAAGCTGTTAACAAATTTTGACTAACGAATATTTCTTTCACTAGAGTCTTAGATATTTTCTAAGAACAAACTAGGTAATCGGCCGTCTATTCTTGCATCTTATATCTCCCCAGCTTCTTCTTCACCGTGTTAGCCCCTCCCCCCCCCCCAACCTGATGCATGTGATCTGTTGGAAAATGAATAAAAAAGTACAACAGAACAGTTGCGATTTCGTAGAAACAGTTATACAAACAGTTCAGGCGTACACTTTGATTGTGAAGTGACAGCAATGTTATCACTTCATTTCAGTCATTCCTTTTGAATACATGTAAGGCTAAGTTTACGCTTACACAGCTGACTTTCGATTGAATCCGTTTTCAAAATTTTACAGAGAAATAGAAAGTTCAATATTTGAATAAAGAATCTCGAGCAGTGACTTCCTCAGTGATTTACACATACAACTATTTAGTTATTGTTACCCCTCATGTCACGCTTTACTCGAAATTTGTGAGTAAAACAGAGGCCAGGTGATAGGAGAGAATTTAATAGGCGGCTAGAAAATAAAATTCTTTTTTAAAATAACCTGTAGTTATGTGAATAATTGCAAATATTACTCAAAGTGTAACTATATTTAACTCCCATAGAATATACTTCCATGTGAACATATTAGGCAACAATTCTGGTTTTTTGTAATAAATACATTGAACACATCGTTAGAGTACAGTAGTGGTATTTCATTAGGATACACAATGAGTGAGCCCCATAATATTAAAAGGGATGTTTCATGTGGACACTAGGACCAGTCACACAGTAAAGAAAATTACTATTTTCGTCAGAATAAGTGTACATTTCTGTAGCATGTTCCCACATTGTTTGCCAACTAACACAGAACTTTCATACATTTATTCCCCTTAATGAATTTGAACAATGCAAGAACTACAGTTTTAGCAAAATAAAATGGTACTATCTTTTATTTCGTTGCCTTCTCGTCAGCTGCTTACATGACAAAGACATTATTAAATATATCTACAACAACAATTTTGACATACTTGCACAGAGTTCATTTTAAACAAAAATCAATCGATCAATATACTCATACACTGAGAATATATACATATATAAATATGCAATATTAGCCACTATTCCGAACAATAATAATCAAACACAATGGAAACTTTTAGCATTTCACATTCGGAGGAAAGAGAGGTGAAATTATCCAGTTACCAGGGCAAAGAAAGGCTGATAACCGCTTCTTTCTGGACGCATAAATCAGGTTTCATGCGCTTGATGGAAATGGCTTCAGCAAACTTAAGGAGAATTGAGCTATTTTGCTTATTGATAATTTTGAACGACTTTTCAACGTTCACCTCATGAGCCGTGTCGAGAAGATGCCTGGTGATGGCACTGTTTAAAGCATTTGTTCCCTTTAGACGTAAGCTTTTTGGTACATGTTCAGAAAATCGTAGATATGCCCTTCTTTCTGTCCTTCCAATGTAACTGCTCCCGCAGATACATGTAAATTTGTATACACAGTTGGAGGTAACATGAGAAGGATATCTATCGATTTTTGATTGCACCAAAGAGCAAGTTGTTCGATAGACGGGAACGAGCTTAGCTGTAGGATACGCTATGGCTAGTGATATACTCAGCCTTCTGTTGATCATCGCTGCAATATTTTCACCTTTATAATCAAGCTGAAGGTAGACTGGCTTTTTTTCTACTGTGATTTGTTTTACTCTTGTGACTTCAGATCTTCCATACTTGTTGATGAACCTTTGAGGATACCCATTTCTCTTCAATATATTTTCAAGGAACTCAAACTCCTCCTCTAGTTTCTCTGTAGAGCATATTCTCCTCGCTCTATAGTACAAAGTTTTGACTAGACCACGTTTAAAGCTATGTGGACAAAAGCTATTAAAATGCAAGTATTGTCCTTTCCATGTGGGCTTTCGATAAATTGACTTTTGAAGACCACCGTCTTCTAGGCGTTCCATGGCTATGAAACTAGTAACTAAAACATCACAGTTTACTTTTACTTCAAGGATCACTGAGACATTATCCATTTTCAAAATATCCAGACGATAAATGTTGCAAAGTTATCTATAATAATTTCACTATCGAGTCAGATTGAGTCACTATGAGAAATTGTCCACAGAAAAATCTTCATTTGATTTTCTGACCACATTCAGATTATTTGAAGTAATTTTATAACTATTCACTTGTTGGTTGATTATGAAAATGCTGATCCATAGAACACACATAGTGATTAATCTTAATCGTAACTGAGATTTTTGCGATGGCGGTTGTTAATTCCTTTGCTAACTAACCTCAGTTACTTGTCCTTCTGTGTTCCACTTTACACTGCCTGTTGCTTACGAGTATTTCAATTTAATATTTGTTTACCATATAGATACTTCTTAGTCATAATTACTCGTTTCTATTGAAATTTACCTCATATAAAATATAAACATTCTCTTAGGTCGTTGGTAATTGCCTTCCTATGGCTGAACAGTATCTGCTTCACATGTACATCTTATCTTACTGAGTATATCCTTATATTGTTTATTTCTAACAGTTGATCTCTCGGAAAGAGTGATGCTGCACGGGGAAAGTGCTTTTATCGGTATTTAGACTAAACACCTCACAGTGTGAGAACTGTTTTTAGATAAATTTTTTATGCTGAATTCTAACCGTAACTAAACCCTCTGACTTATTCACTTGGAACTTCAGCTGTAAATTATGGTCCAGATATGTTAGAAGAAATCTGTGACCTTCTTGAGCTGGAGTTTGATTAATTAATTTATTTGTCATTCCCGAAATCTGTTATATTTTATCACGTCAAGATCGTCTTGAAAATCCTGTCAACCCTCTACTACGTTTTGATCAGTATGAGAGTTGACCGTTCCAACCGGCGTACACTGTATAAGCTATCAGTTTATATATATATATATATATATATATATATATATATATCGTGATTATCACACATTGTTAGACAATGTGCCGATAACAAACCAACAGTAATATCAATGATAACCAATCAGAATTTGTGTAGCAACAAACATATCATTATCCGTATGTAAATTTAAACACAAAGCAATCGTCAGTTTTACTGCTTCTAATATCCACTACAATGAACTTGATCCTACTTCTCACCTGTCTACATTGTGTGAACTCTGAGATTATCAAAATTCAACTACATCATGTGTCTGGAATAAAATCAGTGCTGTATCCTTTTCAAAAACACCTCCGAGCATTACAACGAAGATGGACAAATTTGTGGAATGGTGGAGATACACCGACAGGAGAACAGCTGCATAATTATTTAAATGTAGGTTGACTTTAAATAATGTCAGCTTATTCTAAGTGTCACTGACATCTGTAATACTAAGTCAATAGGGATTATCTGTGTATTGAAATAACTAGTTAAACCTGTCGCTGAATATTTATGCAGTGTTATTCATTACTAATAGTCTAGAAGATAATAGTGTGAATTGAGTGTTTTCGAATATTCTATATGCAGTCTACAAAAGAAGAAGTTAGGATACTGTAGAATCAAAGAAGGAAGTCACTGACTAAATTACAGGCATTATTCCTTATAATTCTGAGCACTTTACTGTCATTAGATAGATAATCACTATCCGTCGGGCTGTTAACCCCGTGGTCACATTTAGAATTAGTTATACAATACTACGCATCATCTCAATATTGAAAGTAGATTCCATTTCGCTTTCTGAATCTACGATACCAATGAAGAAACTAGTTATTCGAATTGATTTTAAAAATCCCATACTGAAATAACAATGACTGACAGATGTTTCTGAACTCATTTACACGATGACATCACAATAGACATTTTCAGTTTCTCAATGCCACTATATGGCAATAGATATGATGTGATCGCTGACCCATAACACACATATCATTCATAAGATGGTGAATGACTGTATTTGTGATATTAGAACACAACACCACATTCATTAATAATTTTCTCAATGAACAAACAGATACACGGAAATGCGAGTAAATATTTGTTAAATGTAACTGTCATGCATGTAATGGAATTTTGTTTGTTTATATCAAAATCTTTCATGACAAATTCAAAGCCATATCGAGGCATAACGTAATGTCATTGAAAAGCTTGTAATGGATGTTTCTTTTAGTATATATAAGGACGATAAATATTATACTATTATTTGTTGGATTCCGAGTGCAAAATGGGGATTAGGTAGCGTATCCACACCTCAGTCTGTTCTCTACAGTCGTATTCATTTGGCTCCATGACTGACATCAAGCTTGAATCTTTTTGTCATAATCTCAAGGTAGATTTTTACTCACTCTGCAAGAGCCTTCAATGCTGCTGATGACATCAGAAAAGCCACTTGTCTAGGTAGGTAGAGTAGATTACTGACTCTTCGGTAGAGAATCTGGAGAGTCACAGATTCCTGCAATTTCTCCACTATATCTTCTCATGGACACGTCAGAAATCAGATAGAATACATTTTTAGTCTCAAGAAAAGATAGACGCATCTACCTGGGCACAAGAATGAGTAGGGGGCATTTGTAATTTCAGACCTTTATCTAGTGCAAGCAATCTTAAAGATGAACTGGGAAGTCTTCGAAGGGCAAGAATTAGACCACAATTCTGGTTCAACATACAACAGGTGAATGAGAGAAATAAGAAGGTCACCTTGACCATAATCATCAGGAGAAAATCTGGAACTTTAATCAACATCACTGGGAAAACTAGCAAGGGGAAACACTAGGATTCTGAAAGTGACATGGGAAGAAAACTTTATACTCAATTTAATCAAGCAGATAAGGCAGAATAAAGAGTGGCTCACAACGATACCTGGAATCTGTAAAGCAAACAAGGACAGATAGGTACAAGGTGAGCCAGGGCAAAGATGAAAAACGAAAGCAGTGGCTAAGTATAATTCACATAGCAGTGAACAAAGGGGTGAAGAAGAGCGCTAGGAAGGATGATGTCTCTTCTACTGCATGTTGGCTGCTGAATCAGCAAAACCGGTGAGACAGAAGAGATCTTACATTATGCGAAACAATTTTATCGACATCCTAGAGGAGTAACATTCAATGAAGCTACTGAAAAGTAGTGGTGAAACAACGGAGATATTGGGCAGACAATTTCAACAGGTACTTATCCAGAAATATCACCAGCAGACATTCAACGTTTATTAAATACAAATGTTCGACAAAATCAGAAATATTGAATGCCATACACTAACTGTAGGACGGGAAAGTAGAAGGACCAGATTGAATCCCCTTTACTGCAGAAGAATTAGGGGTGGGAGTAGAGATCCAAGCAATTATCCTTATTCCGCTACTGTAGAATGTGTGGAAAGAAAGATAGGTGCCTGCCGGTTGAAAGCAAAGGCGACTTAATTGTATCCTAGAATCAGGCTCATGTTTATCCCAAGCAACATATTTGGTGACCATTTTAACAGTGCGAAGTATTGTGCTGCAATCAATTTAGGATGAAAACTTTGCAGGAGAGACATTCAAAACAGACGATATAGCTGAGGATATCAAATCAGGAACGGCGTCCACTCCCCTGGAGATAGTGTGTTGATCGAAAGCACCGTGCACAACGAATGAGATTCGGATCTTCTACAGTAATGTTCAATCAGTGTTTCTAAATGATTCAGAGGGATATCGTGTCACAAAAATCACCTTAAACAGGCTGTTTCAAAGATTCATCTATATCTGCCTTCTTGGTTATAAAGCACAAACAACAAGGAACTCTGTCAACTAACCGACCAAGAACCTAATGCCGAAATTGTGTACAGAAAGAGATGGACACTGATTTTGCATGCGTCATTCAAGTTTTGTATTCCTTGAAGTTTGCAGTGGAACTTCAAGACTCTGACTTGAAGTTTCTTTAGCCTTGTTGTTTATTTTTACAGGATGGGGTTGCTAGCCTCATGCCCAACCTCCCCTCCTTACCAGTCTTATTACTGGCTTAACGAGGTAAAGGAGTGTGTTGGATTTAATTTTAATTTTTTAATTTTTTTTTGATTTACAGCTTGATTCCACACTGTATTTTCGGTACAAGTATAAAATTTTCAGCATGGGTATCGGTAGCCCAAATTTTGCAGGCCGACCATAGATATCAGGTGTACGTAGGTGCGGGCTCGAACCCCGGACCATATGCGTGGCCGGCGAGCATTCCATCTTTTTGCCACGGATGAAATTTTGAATGGCAACCTTTCAAAATTGACAAGAAGAAAGTCATGTGGAGGGAAGCGAAGGCTTGAAAGCAGTCATGTTATCAGCTGAAAGTGAAGGCAGACGACCAAACAAAATGGTTATATGTCTCTGGATCTTTTGGTTTAAATCGAAATGCAAGGGACCTACCAAAATTATGACGAAATTTCGAGGCATTACTTTTGTGTATTTATCCTAATAAACTTCTTGATATTGTTGGTGATGATCACATTTGACTGTCTTAAATGCCTAATAGCTAACAAAAATTCAGGGTTTTAGGCTGTTCTGTCAATGGTAGTAATATTTTGATAAGTTTTTATTCAATATTATTTCATTTGACGATATCTCTTTCGTGAGGATAAGGAAAACTGGTGGAAATTTATAAAAGTGTCTACTGGTATTTTTTCATTGTGCAAAGTGCAGGATTGTTAAAAGTTGCCAAACACTATCATTTTGTCTTCTGTTAATCTTACTCTCTCGTAATGGTCATTCAAGTTTCAGTACTATGGAGAATTACTAGTTGGAACGCCACCACAAAAGTTTCGTGTACTCTTCGACACAGGGTCAACCGACGCCTGGCTCCCCTCAAGAAAATGCTGGTTTCTAGATATCGCCTGTTGGTTCATTCGATTTTATGACAGTACGAAATCATCAACATATCAGTCAAATGGAACAAAGTTTGAGGTGAAGTACATCGTTGGTAGTTACTCTGGATTTTGGAGCTTGGATACAATGCAGGTATCATGATTTTATAACATGAAGCGACAATGGTTTTAGATAAACTCCTTAGTTATTCGCAATCAGGCGTTTGCTGAAGTAACAAATGTATTCTCTGACGATTTCTTTGCTAATGAATTCGATGGATTAATTGGTATGTCAAGGAGAAATGTTTCAAGATATGGGAACACTCCATTCTTTCCAAATATACTTTCTCAATTCAAAGATATGGATCCTGTGTTTTCATTCTATCTGAGTCGGTAGGTCCTCTGTTTACAGCATGATATCAGTGAAGTTACAATAAGCTATGGATGGATCGAAGAAGATTTACTGATATTCATCAATGTTTGTTTCCACATTATGTGATTATTTTTTTTATTTGGAATACTGAGAAGTAAATACGTTTAAATAGCTTCAGACCAAAGCAAAGCACAATTTTTTGTTGTGAAATTATTATTACGATTTCGTTAAATCTTGTTTCAAACTGAATGAATTATTTTGCATGGACATTAACAGGGGATATCTTGTGATGAGGAGGGTACGAGACACCAACCATAAAAAGGTTGTCACACGAACAGTGTTCGAAACATACGAAGGGTAAAGCTTTTGGCATAATCTACTCACCATATGCATGAGTTTCAGTGAGTGGGTCGATCACATCCAAGGTATTTAAGTGCTTGTTAATTTTAAGTGATAAAAGCACCCAAGGTACTCACTAAATGATGTCATTGTTTAATATCATATTATTCGACACTACTTTTGAGTAATAAGTGAATGAATGCAAACTCTCCCCTCCATGATGTCTAATGGCACTACATAATTTGAAACAATAACCAATCGTAGCATGGTGAAAGTTTTTCATATCCGAATATAGAAACGCTGTGCACAAAAACACGCAGAATCAGAGATTTATGAATGTTAAAATATAATAATTCATACATTCCATAGTTCCCCCACAGTTTGTATAAGTGTTTTTTACGACCATTCTGAAATACTTTTCCGAGCGTCTTCTCACCTGTTGATAAAGATATCACTTCATCAATGTATATTTGACGATTATTCAGTTTGAGCACCGTTTCCAAGCCTCACTAATGTACAAGAGGAAATGTGGCATGATATTGCCAAACTACTACTAAATTGCTTTATGAGTAATGCTTTCATGCATTGCAATTTCATGTAAATTTCGACGACACGTTTATTATGATTACCGCCAATTTTTTTCAGTGATGAAATGTGAAGTTGAATTCACCTCTAGCCTTGTAATCAATAAACAATTATTACTTCTTGTATTTTGTAGGAAGAATGGTCATGCTGGTGGAGAGATGGTGCTGGGTGGTGTTGATCCAGAATATTTTACTGGAGATTTCGAAAACTTGCCTGTCCTGTCTGAAAATCGTTGGATTGTTAACATCAAAAGGTAGTTAGTGCATACTTGAGTGAAGTTATGTGCTAAGATGAGGATTGCAGCAAACAATTGAATGCTTATCACATTCGTAGCATCTTAGCGAAGTACTTTAGCATAATGGCAATTCTTATGCGTTGTAGTAATAGAAGTTATACATTCTTGTATTCATTCACTGAACGAGATAAGATCTGAAAATTCCAAATCATTGAAAATAAATCGTTTACATTTATATCGCAATAGTATATTCGTAACAAGATTAACTTGGACAAGCATTTCTTTGCAATAAGTTCTCATATAAACTTTGTTGCTATAAATACATGAATTGGAGAATATAACAGCTACTAAAAGAAAATCAAAACTGTGAGAAACTGTTTCAGAGTATAAGTACACAAGGGCGCAGTTTGTGGGCGCCACATCTACTGATACATTAAGTTACATATTGATTAGAACTACTAAAAGATATTTCAGTGCATCGGAATTAGACACTAATTTCTGAACAAGACCTTTACTGACAAATTGCATTAAAGGTAAGTTACCATTGATGGTCACATCAGCACGTGTATACAAATTTATCAAGATCTGTGGAGTTAGTTGTTTAGACCGTATTCATGTGCAAGTTTGCTTTGGAAAATCAGTAATCAGGTTAATAAATAGTGAATATCACGTAAAACAGATGAGCAATTTGCAGTCCCATACCGAGCACCGAACAATCTACGGTTACGTCTCCTGAAAATACAGAGATGAATGAGAATACACCTGACTTGTGTGCACAAAAGTGTACATTCACCTGATAATTTCATTTTGGATTGCTCTCTTCTTATCTTTCTTCACCTATTTTACTTTGATAGATTCTCCCTCAGACTCCACAACTATTTATCCATTCATCTTTGGCTTAGAAAAGTCACTAAAGTCAAACTAGAATAAATATCAGAAATTATATTGTGGTACTAGTACACGATTGCATGATAGTCAGTTAGTTCTGACTAATGCTTAAATCCACATGAAGTGTGTAGTCAATGAGCACATGGGATTCAATCGGATTAAATAGTTCAACGTTGGGGTGTATGTTTGTTCATGTAAACGAGACAAAAAGTACAGATTTCTTGAGTGAGTGTAGTTAGTTTCGCGAGAGACGATATAATTACTACTTGTTAGGACGAGTGGTTTTGTGATCAATACAACCTTTTTTGCATAGACTAGTTAATGTTTAATTTACGCTTTTACTCTGTCTAGCTTGAAAGTGAATGGAGTAGAGTACTGTGATGCAGCATGCTCTGGTGTTATAGATACTGGGACATCCTTGATAGTCGGATCTAGTGCATTGGTGGGTAAAATTAATTCACAACTCGGTGCCGTATCTGCAACGGATGGGGAGTATGTAGTCGACTGCAGTAATCTCAATAACCTTCCTTCCATTGAATTTAGCCTTAAGGAGAGAATATATGTGTATCAAGCAAAAGATTACGTGGTCAAAGTAAGTGTAGATTTTCAGCTGAATGTTCTGATATTTTGTGATGAGCAAACGTTTATTTATGCTTTGTTGTAAATACTTCAACCGTCATTTCATTTTTATTCGTCAATGAACTGATAGTCAGTTATCGCTGAGTTAGTCAAAAGAAGTCATCCATCTTACAAAAGCGCCTAAATCATACTTTTTATTAGGGAATAAATTTCAACACATTCTGAACTCCATGTGAAAAGATAGACGCTGTCACTGTTATTCATTTATATGTGTAAGTTCTTTTGCGAAGGATATTTTCTACTAATAAGCATATTTACGGAGCTATTTCAATCCAATCATGTTACAAAGTCAGCATTAAGATGACTAAGTCCTTCACCTCCGCTTCCAAGAACCTACCGTAAATATATGCTTAATAATACATTATTCTGCCTATAACAAAAACAGTGATTATATTTGTGGCTCCCTAGATCCAGCAACTTCGGGATCTTTTGTTGCATTCGGTATCTTGATCAATTAAATGACTCATAGTGACTCAAATATCGGTAGGACAAATTTCAAGAATCCGGAGAGATTGATCAGCTACAATGACACTGGAATTACGCTAGTGAGTGAGATAAAAATGACAAAGTAGTTAAATTTGAATTCTGATGCAGTAAATTTCAATAACCATTTCTAGATATTGGATTAGAGAAATCTGAAGACAGTTTTTTTCATTTTCACATTTCAGGATTCGAACTGGTTATCAACAGAATGTCTATCACCTTTCAGAAGCAGTCCTAAATTGTCTGAGGGATCCTGGATTCTAGGCGATGTATTCATGAGGAAGTTCTACACTGTATTCGATTTCGGTGAGCGAGAGATACGATTGGCTGATGTTAACGATGGATAAAGCTTTTGGTACCTAAACCAGTAAATCACTGAACGTGAACATGTCTTATAAAATAAATTACGAAGTTCTTGTTTAGCACAATATAATTATTCCTTCAAGATCTTTCGGAAAACGGATAATCGCTGAGGGTGTATACGTCCGTTTAAAATGATATTATCTGTGGCATTTTAATAACTATATTGGGAAACGCCTTTAATATAGTGAATTTCAGTCTAGAGAATTATTTGAGGATCCTGCCTTTTTAAAATAAGCAATCAAAATGAGCAGTTTAATGGTCAGTTAATAAATAAAGTTTGATGAGAACCTAGCAAGTTTATTTTTACGAATTTTTTGATTTTCGAGGTAAACAATAGCATATGAAAGAGATGGCTGTTCGTTATTTGGATCTCAAGCTGAAGTTTTCCATCGCAGAAAGTTGATATTGATATAAGTATAGAACTTGGCCACTGTTGTAGAACATAACTCCATCATGGATAAGATTTTATTTTGATAAATCCCACAGTGTTGTACAGTAATATTAACTGATGACCACGTTTCGAGCACAAACTATTGCTCATAATCATATCAAGTGGATGTTTCTGTTTTCCTGATGAATATCTCATTAGCTCCAATTTTCTATGAGTTAATTAATGCCGCTAAATATTTCATCTTTATTGTAATTCATCCGTTCACATAGATCTACCATGAGAACCATAGACTATTCTGAGAATTTATACTTTCACTAGATTTCTACTATATAATCGACTTGAGAGTGTTGCTGGCTTTTTCGCCAGCGAACTTACTCGCACATAACATTACCTGAAGAAATCAGACAAACTATGAAAAGACCTCAGATGATAATTGCTCACTATTTTAGTTTTTGTCTGACACCGCCTTGTTCTGATAGTTAATGATTGCATTATACCCACCGTCTCTGGTGTATATAAGAACTTTAGAATTTGATGTGCTATCAAGAGTGAAACTCGTTACCTTGACATTCCTGTTGAGCATACTTATCAGAATGACCCAATAAGCTAAACTAGTAAAAACGAACTCTCCTGAAGATTTTCATGTATCAGAAAGATCAGCTGAACAGTAAATTGACTAAAATCACTTACAATCATTGTGTGCGTTACTTTAATTACGGCCATCATCTGGCATTTAAGAGTTTAAGACATTCATATGCAACGTACGTCTTGAAATCCAAAAATACACTCAACCAAAATAGTTGATCTACAGTATCTATTCTATTAGTATCAGGAGGTTATTGCTGTAAGAACTGCAACAGTCTCTCGATCAAAGTCTACGACAATGGTGAGATATCTTTAAACTCATCTCTACTTACTCAAATAACCAGATGTCGGTTAGACAGAATTACGGAGAGCGTTTTTCAGAATATGTCATTTCTGATGCTAGGATCACGTAAGTACATTATTTAAGTTAGCTTAGATTTGCTAAGTTAAGTACCTCGACACTGTGCAACTATTACTTACTATTTATGAATAAATGACAATTGGGATGCAAACCCTTAACTACATTTCATGAAGTGGTAGGTGATCACCTGGGAGATTCCATCCCTTAGTGTAAATTAGCATACGATTTAACCTAGAAAGTGCTGTGAAATTGTAAGCTACAGCAGTTTTTACCTCAGTAGATTGCCAAATAAAATGACACCCAAATTGTATATAACAAATTCAACAGAATCTTTGAAGATTCCAAATACGATCATATTCGGGAAATAATATGTCCAGCTTGTGACAGAATGTGCATCAAACAAGCTCCCTGAGAAGCTAAGGTGGGGAAAAATGAGTATACTGAACCTACTGCTTGATTGCCTGACAGCTTAGTAGAACATAAAATATTCGAAAAATCTACAACTATGACCTGGCGTACTCATACGTGAGACCATAATATTGTCTTGCTAAATGATGGAATCATTCAGAAAAACTTGTATATAATAAGGGTTCTCGCGACAGAAGCATAACACATGAGACAAAATCCAATTTGTATGAATAGGAACGAGTGAACAGGGAAACATTTGAGCTGGTTTTCGGGGTTTATCAGTCGCTAAATATGTCACTGTTTACAGATCAAGTTGTTCACCTAAACAAACTAGAATTGGAAAATCCCCACTCTGTGTTTCTTCCGACTACATCCATCAATTTATTTGTGTTAGCCATGACAAATAAATCTTTGTGACCACATATCTGAGCTAATTCCAAGATACTTGCTAATGAAAGCCACTTAACTATTTAGCACTGCGACTGTTTCTCCTTTTAGGAATGCCAGTGATGAAATAAAAATTCACGTTTTTTAACATACCTGAAAAATATACACATACGCATATGCGTGATTACCACTTCAATTCGTTCAGTTGCTGTACTTAGCCTCACATCGGAAGCGAATGTAATTCTTGCGAAATCGTTGGAAATTTCTTATTCGTTAGCCAATTTACATCACTGTGTGAATTCCAAATGGTATCGAATGAAAAGTTTTTGATTAAATTTCATAGGTTCCTAATTTCAAATGCATTAATTTCTAAAGAAGAATTTGATACCATGCTTTTACGGGGTTTCACCAATGGTATAACAAGCTTGTTCATTAACTTGAAGAGATAGAATGACTTTTTCAGCAGAAAATATTAAAATAGAGCGATCTGTGATACGACAAATAATGGAGACGCATAATAACATGGAGAAATGTTTGAATGGACGTAGTAGATCAATGCTATGTAAGAGGAATGTTCAGGTTCCGTGATGGTGGACTGAAAGAAAGAGAATAATACAGTCTTTAACAATTATGCTACAAGAGTATGGAAATAATTTGGGTAGAACATAGTACTGTATTGTGTAGGTTTATTTAATACGCCACACAGTGGTATATTGTTTGTCAGTTGTCCGAGAAACAGAATCTTGAAGAGAATATAGACGAAATGAGGAAGGAACTGTAAGCGATCTGATATTGGTGGAGTTGCAGTGTTCTAAGATGGGAATGACTAGGTGAAAGAAATGTTACTGATTTTGAATTAGCAAACTAATTTGATTACAGCTTGATTCCACACTGTATTTTCCGGTACAGGTATGGAAATTTCAGCATGTGACATCGGTAGCCCAAATTTTGCAGGCTGACCATAGATGTCAGGTGTGCGTTGGCGGGGAGATAACTCCGGACCATGTGCATGGTAGGCGAGAGTCCTAACCACTGTGTCACCGACGCACAGTCTAAATGTCAAAGCTGAACAACGAATGAGTCCCTGTCTTAGGAAGTTGCATCGGAGAGTAATGATACCGACAACGATGAATGAATTGATAGATCCAACAGTGATTAATACTTCACGACTTTAAGATCTACCCAAAATGGGGCAATCGGAACTTCCTCTTCGTTTGGTTTTAGGTATGTTTGAGTCAGCATATCACTGAAATAAAAACTGATTGAGTGAAACTCGTGAATTTTTGTGCGAAGAAATACAGAGATACAGATTTAATGCTCTTTGTCTTCTGCAGAATGTCTGAGAAGGAATGTAAATAACAAATCTTTGATATCCACTGATTCATCTTCCCTGTTCACAAATTACCCGTTGTTGTTGTTGTTGTTGAAGACAGTAGACTACATATGCCTACCAATTAGTGAAAGTCAATAGGACAAGTGATTACCATGTCTGGCAGCAAAGTTACTCCTTTAGTATATAATGTACACTTTGTATTCAATATTATATAATACTGACAACTAGATAGAATCTCCATGAGCTCACAATCAGATCCGATTCTAGAGGACATTTAGCTTATCAAATTGAGAGTGGTTTGTTGAAACACATTGTCACTATAAGGACGATGCAGTTGTCATGATTCATGGGAATTTAAATAAGAGTGAATTATTGGTGAAATTCAGTGATATCCACTCTTCTGTCACTTCTACGCAACAACTAGATCAGGAGAACATACTGTATTTTCTGGAGGCCTTAACAAGTGGGAAAGCAAATGGGTCATTTGGAAGAAGCATGTATGGGGAAGAGCAATACACGTTATTCCTTATTTATGTACCTATTAAATGTGATAGAAATATTTTGAAATGTCTTGAGAACACATCAAGAAGCATAAGTAGGAAAGAGTATTCGAAAAACCTAATTGAATATAAATGGTCAACCAGTTTTTCTCATAATCTGAAGGTCTAACTTTCTTTGCATGGTGAGGTCATAGGTGTGCACTGTCGAATAGTCCCAAAATCAGATCAAACAGTTGTTCGGTGTTCTGTGGCTTTCATTGATCTCTCCTACTAATATTGGTCTTTACGTAATCTAACAGCTGTACATGGTCCTCTGATGGCTGTGATTTGGCGGAGCAGTCTCAGAAAATGAACATGTGAGCAAATTTGATAGAAACATACAGACGTTGACGCAATGAAAGAAACCATTATATCAGAAGTATAATATTTCTCATTGTGATATTAGGAACGCACTATTCGGCGAGGGGATTCTTTTCAACGAATTTATTACCATATTGAAAATTCGTTAACATATGACTCGTAAGAAACTACATTCTTTTTAGGGAATTGAAACAAAAAGTGTGGATACTTATATTAATAGTGTGATATTCAATAAAATATTTGTGGTTGTAATCACATTTTAGATAGATAAGATAATAATAGCTCTATTCCAAAACAGTACTTGTGAATACAGAATGGAATTCTCAGCATTTTACTACAATATTGCATCCAGTTAGTATATTAACAATAAAATAATATTCTACATAGATTAAGGGTAATCTCAGTTAGTTTTGACAACAACATATTAGCATGTCGGTAGAAAAGCCAAAATGAAACAGAGTGTTAGAAAGTGTTAGAAAAGTAGATGGTAGCATATTTATTGGCGTAAACAGAAAGAAAGAAACAAAGCAGCACATAACAGAAAAAAAGAGGGAGAAAAGGAAAAGAAAGAAAGAAAAACGTTGTACCTATAAATGATATGAGTTGGAAAGACGAGATCCAGTTGTTCCACTGACTATTTAATAAATTAAAAATTTTTCACGCCTGATGCTTTCTTTATCGCACAGAACACGAGCTAAGTAGGGTATGGATGAGTTTTTGTACTTACTAGTGCGGGCATATAGTTTCCTATATAGGGTTTGAGATTGAGAGTTAAAACAAGTTGTATCACACATAAAATAGTTCATAAAATGTGAAGATCTTGAGAAGGCAATTGAAATTGATACTATTATTATAATTAGTAGGCAAACTGAAGCATTTCGTAACATGGTGAGAAGCTCAATAAAAAACAGATTTCAACATAACCAAACGTATATATATTTAATTAGAACAACTAGGGGAACAAAAGAAATATTACCGTAAAGTGTTCAGAGTCAAAACATTGAAAATAACAATCGGAAAGATAAGGAGAATGTCCACAGATCAAATGAATACGATGGAGTCAATAAGTACTTTACCCCTGATATAAGAATAAAACTTGTGCACTGTGGTAGAGTGTAATTCCATTATGGGTAAATTTTGTTTTGATAAAGTCTCACAGTGTTATACAGTAATGTTGACTGATGACGTTTCGAGCACAATTTATTGCTCATAATCATATCAAGGTAATCACACGACTTCCTAAATTCATTCATATAGTTCCATTGTTTTTCTCTTGATTCTCACTTGATTTGATTGGTAATAGTATTTTCCATATTTCAGGTATGATTGACGAGTTATTCCTATTGCATGTATTGGGTGTAGACTCGATGAACAAGGATTCAGTAATCAACCTCTCTCTCCACCTACCTAGATAGAATTTTAACCCTCTCCCACCCTATTGTGTGGTTGTGTGTTAGCGCATGCATTGCAATTGCTGAGCTTTTTTCTAAATTACTTATCTTCTTGGGGTCAACCATTCTTACCTTAGCTAAATTCTTATGCTCTGACAATCTGATTACCCCTGACCTACTAGTTTGACCTATGTAGTTGACCTCACAGTCATTGCATGGTATTTTGTAAATAATATTATTTTGTCTAATTCGGTCAACTGGGTCCTTTAACCTACAGAGCTTGTCCCTGAGTGAGTTTGTAGGTTTAAATGCCACCCTAATTCCTATTTTATTCAGAATCCTACGTAGTGTCTCAGATGTCCCCTCTTTATATGGTATAACTGTGGATGACTTATATTCTTTCTTATTTATGTTATTATTACTAGTTTCAAAATTATTTTTATTTTGTTTTTGGCCTTTAATGATCTTCCTAATGAATTCTATAGGATAGTTATTCAACACCAACGCTTCTTCTATCTGTTTTAATTCATCATTTAGATCTTTTTTGTGCTACTTAGTGCTACTGTTCGGTTTGTTAGAGACTTCACTAAGCCTGCCTTAACAGTTAAAGGATGAGACGAATTAAAGTCTAAATATCTATTAGAACGCGTTGGTTTTCTATAAACACTAGTGTGTAGTTTGCCTTCTTCTATTCTTTTTATCTTACAATCTAACATAGCTAATTCTCCTTGTTCATTTTCTGATTCAAATGTGAATTTTATTCCCTCAACTTGTGAGTTTATATGTGTCAAGAAGCTAGAGATGTGTTCTGTTTTTAACACTGTGAAAGTGTCATCCACATATCATATTTTCGGAGTAGGGTTAAATGTATTGAGGGCACTATTTTCCCAGCTGTCCATAAATATGTCTGCTACGATAGGGGATATTGGTGATCCCATTGGGTTGACCCCGAGAAGATAAGTAATTTAGAAAAAAGCTCAGCAATTGCAATGCATGCGCTAACACACAACCACACAATAGGGTGGGAGAGGGTTAAAATTCTAAAAAGTAATCTAGGTAGGTGGAGAGAGAGGTTGATTACTGAATCCTTGTTCATCGAGTCTACACCCAATACATGCAATAGGAATAACTCGTCAATCATACCTGAAATATGGAAAATACTATTACCAATCAAATCAAGTGAGAATCAAGAGAAAAACAATGGAACTATATGAATGAATTTAGGAAGTCGTGTGATTACCTTGATATGATTATGAGCAATAAATTGTGCTCGAAACGTCATCAGTCAACATTACTGTATAACACTGTGAGACTTTATCAAAACAAAATTTACCCATAATGGAATTACTTTACCCCTCCTTTTTGTTCTACGGCTAAGGTAAGAATACCATTTATCTTCATAATTATCACATTGTCCTTTTCATTTCGAACTGTTATCTTACTCCTACTGATATGACTATATTTCAAACTTTGACTTCCCTTCCTTGAAAGACAGGTAGAGATTTGAAACCGAGCAACCTGAGATAGAAGTCACTGAAAATAGTGCTCAACTCGAATGTTACTTATGTAGAATATTTAAACAGAACTTCTCAGTTAAACAAATTAAACATATTTAGACACATCTTGAATGAAGTATGTTTATTATTATGAAGACTCAGTCACACGTACACATTTATGTTATATCCAGGATTGAATCAGACTGTAAAGAAAACAGGATCACCACTATACATGATTTAAGTTAACACGTGTCATGATTTTCACACACCACGAAATAACACATCGACAACAGACAAAATCTAGATGATCACCAATCGGAAATTCCGTCGTTGTGAGCATGTTAATATAACAGTGTGTAGATATAAACAAAAAGACACTGTCAACATTTCCACTTCTCCTTTGAGTATTCATTGCAATGAATCTGATCATACTCCTCATCTGTCTGCATCATGTGAATTCTGAGATAATCAAGATTCTGTTGCATCCAGTGGGTTTGTCTGGAATTAATTCAATTCTACGTCCGTGTTGGAAGTTCTTGAGGGGAATACAACAAAGCTGGATGAAATTATGGAGTGGAGGAGAAACACCAAAATCACAACGACTGTATAACTTTCCTAATATAAGTTGATCTTCGGTTATACATTTATCGAGAAACGAAAAAGAAGCCTTGCAACGATGTCTTCTCGGAGGTTTCATCCACAAAAGCCGTACATCACGTTTTGTACAGAAGTTCACACGGCTACAACTATCATTCAAAATTCAGTCAAAGAGTATAAAGGAGACGATAATTTTAAACTTTATAAGGAAGTTAGAAGGTGTGAATACAGATCACAAGAGGCTTAGAAACAAAATAACACAGGCCGCTCGCTTGGCGGCCTGTTTGACATCTGGGCTACTTTTTCCTGCATCTACATATTGCATCTAATAAGTCATGTTTTCATTCCTAATTTTAATAAAATATGATCACAAATCGCATAAAATACAGTAATTCATTCATTAAACGTTTTAAACCATATGACTTTCATGCATCTAATAAATCTAAGAGAAAACATCACGCTGGCTGGCAGCGTGCACTTAAACAGACACCTTTATATCGTACAACCATTCCTGTTATTGTCACTTCAAACTGCCGTTCACTTCCCAACAAAATTATGCATCTCCAGTCTCTCTTATCATCTGATACTTATCACAATACGGCGATTGTTGCATTACAAGAAACATGGCTCCATGAACTCTATGATGACAATCTGGTTTCCCTAAATGGTTTTACATTGTTTAGACAAGATCGACTATGCTCCAGAAAGAAAAGAGGTGGAGGTGTTGCAACTTTCATTCATTCTCAATGGTCAACTTCAAATAATGTATGTTTTTCTTACTCTAATGACTTTATTGATTGTATAACGGTCAAATGCCGCCCGAAACACTTATCCAAGTTTAAATACGTCTTCATCTCTAACATTTATGTTACTCCTGGCTGTTCTGCATCTGATCTATCTGATTTTGCTGATGAATTCACTGAATTCGCCGTTACACATCTTGAAAACTCTTTATCAGTTGTCACAGGAGATTTTAACTGCTGTGATTGTTCTTTCCTCGTATCATTAGGTCATGCCAATATTGTTAAATTCCCTACTCGACTTGATAAAACTCTTGACCTAGTGTTCATTAATGATGAGGAAATATATGAAGTACGCCGACGTGCTCCTATCATGAACTCAGATCATTGTATTATTCGGATATTACCTAAGATATACAGCAGATCTCACTTTAATATCTTCTCAAATCTGTCCAAGAAAACACAGCAAAGGTGTTACTCACAAGAAAATATGCTCAAACTAAGATGTATGCTAAATGACACTAACTGGGAACTTTTCAACGAACACAAACTGGATGATACTATTTCCAATTTGACTGACTATCTTAAATTCTGTCTTGATATATGCTGTCCAAAACAGATAATTTTCAAAAGAATGGATCGTTTTTCTTCCCCTCATCTCAAAAAACTTCGTAGAGAAAAAGAGAAGCTGTACAAGACAAAGAATAAATCTGGTCTTAAGAAGATAAACACCCAAATTAAATCTGAAATCAAGAGACTAAACAACATTTATAATCAAACAATACTATCTTGTAAAACCTCAGAAAACATATGGAAGCTTTTTAGAGAAATTACTGGTTGTGGTAAGCATAATAATTTTGCCTCTTCTATTGATGTAAATACTCTCAATAGATCTTTCATCCGCCCTCCAAATGTCCTTTCTGCCTTCAATTTAACTAATAACACGACCAGTGACTTTCATCGTTTCAATACTTCTGATGTTCTTAAATGTTTGAAATCTCTTAAACCTTCCCAGAGTCTAGGCCCTGATGGTATACCTGCCATTGTTTTAAAGAAATGTGCTGATATTTTAAGTAACCCACTTACAAGCATTTTCAATACTTCTTTTTCTAATAATAATGTACCTTCTCTGTGGAAAGATATTAAAATCATCCCTGTACCCAAGTCTGGTTCTGGAGATAGTGTTAAGTTTAGACCAATTGCCATTACCTCTCCTTTTTTGAAACTGATGGAGAAATTACTGTTACAAAAACTCATTCCCTCCCTAAGCTTCTCAAACGATCCAAAGCAGTTTGCTTACAAACAGGGTAGAAGTACTTTGGATGCTGCTGCTGTGTTTCATCACAACATTGTATCCTCCTTAGACAAAGGGGCCAAGTATGTCCGTTGTACTTTCCTTGATTACACATCTGCTTTTGACTCTGTACCTAGAGGCCTTTTGTTAAACAAGCTTAGCCTTACACAAACTGAGTCCTGGGCTATCAACTGGCTGCACTCTTACTTCTCCAATAGGATGCAGTACACGGTATATAATGGTGTAGCTTCCTCTCCTTTGCTTACTGAAGCTGGTGTTCCTCAGGGTGCTGTTCTCTCGCCGTTTCTCTTTTCCTTCTTCTTACATGACTTACCTCTCTCAGACGAAATCAACTTCGTCAAATATGCAGATGACCTGACTGTTTCGCTTCCCGTTAAGTCTCAGTCAGACTGCTTCAAATTAAATAGCTTCCTGTCGGACATCAGTCAGTGGTCTAAACTAAATGGCCTAACGCTGAATCCCTCAAAATGCCAGACTGTCGACTTCTCCTTTAGGCATAAACGAGATCTACAAACACTAGTAAGCACTCATGATGTCTGTAGAATTGAGGGGACTATAATTGAAACAAAGTCTAATGCAAAATACCTCGGATTAGTTATATCTTCCGACCTTACTTGGTCATCTCATATCCAAATGATTTCCAAGAAAGTGTTTCGTCTAACCTACTACATTAAGAAACTCAGACTAACTGGAGTCCCTCAACCTCTGCTTTCACAATTTGTCAACTCTCGTATCCTACCTATTCTACTTTACTGTTCCCCGTTAGTCTTTCCTGGGTTACTGAAAAAGGATTATACCATCCTGAGAAGGATGTTGAAGGTAGTTAGTAGGACTAGCGGTGTAAAACTCAGTCAGCTCGTCACAACATTAGTGGATAAGCATCTGAATACATGTGAGAAATGGTCTAAAACCATACTCTCTGACCCCCAACACCCCCTCTATTCCCAACTCTCTCCTTGCATCTCATCAGGTAGAACCAGAAATCAGTATAAAATAATATATGCTCGCACAACCAAGTATAGGAACTCAACGATACCATATTTGGCCCGTGTTCTAAGTGACAGAGACAATGTTAAGCGTGAAACCTATGACTTGCTTTGTTGTTAATAACATAATTTTGGCCCTTGTTATTTCCCCCTTATACTCTCTTATTTGTACTCTATAGTGAACAACCTTCTTAAACATACTTAGCTGCTTAAAATTATTATCATTGGCTTACTTTTTTGTACTTTACTCTATTCCTTCTTTTGTACATCTACTGGGTCCGACTATATTATCACTATGATTATTACAAAATTGTCCTGTCATTAACCATCATGTAATATTAGTTTTGTGGTTGTTCTTTGTTCGGCACTATTTAACTGACAATCTTGTTTGTGAATGCCACTATCACCATCTTAAAAAATTTTGTATTATGCATGATTACTCACACTACCACGACTAACACGGCATTAGTGCTGACAATAAAAAAAAACAACCTGAAATGTTTATTTTATGATTGTTTAGTGTTGTTCAATCAAATTAAGTGATCATCTTAGCTATTAACATTCTCATAATTTCTTCTACGATCATAGCTGTTACTGTTCACCACGCATACACATATCATAGCTTCCATCACGCAGTACTGAAATATTTTTTTTCATTATTAGTGTTTATCTTCTTTTCTACTTGGTATTTTTTATTTGCATTTTTTTCTCTTTTCTTGTTTTTTTTCTTTGTTATTTCTGTGTTTCGTTTTTTTGGTTTATTTTTGTCGTGTTTTTTTTATATTTATTTATTTATTTTTTTTTTGTAATACTCCTTTTAATGTCCGATGAAATTAGATGCAATATTGTAGATATGTGCTGAAAACTCCACACTGTACCACAAGTACTGTTTCTGGAATAAAGCGAAATTGTTATGTTATGTTAACTCAGTAATATACTAAATGGATTTAGCGAGTTCAGGTGTGAACGAGATGGTTAAGAAAATAAACCGAAATAATAGTCTTAATAATTGAAGAACACTATTAGGTTTTATGCCTCATAAGTAAATAAATAGTGCCGTATCTCTGTAAGTAGCAAAATAAAAGTATTCTATGATAGACTTCTACTCTCCCACAGTGTTTAAATTATGCACTTTTAACGCAGTCCACTAAGCCTCTGGCAACAATTACGTGTTCCGGATCCTAATTCTAGTGGAATCAAAATTAAGTTGATTTTTAAATGAATATCCTTTCAGAGAATAACATACCTATCAAATGCCTACCAAATGAATTTCTCGAAACCTTATAAAATTGTATGATAGTATGTTTGATGCACACCAGTTCATCACGACATCAGAAACATTCAGCTTTTCAGAATCTTATGTTTATTATATCTTTTTAAGATTGAATACTATGGAGAAATACAAGTGGGAACGCCATCACAAACGTTTCGTGTACTCTTTTACACAGGATCAACTGACACTTGGTTCCCCTCAAGGAAATGTTGGTTTCTTGACATTCCGTGTTGGTTCATTCGATTTTATGACAGTTCGAAATCATCCACCTACAACCCAAATGGTACTGAGTTTGAAGTTTATTACCTGGTTGACAGTTACTTTGGATTTCGGAGTATGGATACAGTGCAGGTATTGTGCTTTTATAACTTGAAGCGACAATGGTTTCAGATAAACTCCTTAGTTATTCGCAATCAGGCGTTTGCTGAAGTGACAAATGTATTTTCTGACGATTTCTTCAGTAGTAAGTATGATGGAATCATTGGTATGTCAAATGAGTATGTGTCGAGCTATGGGAACATTCCATTCTTTTAAAATATACTTTCTCAATTCAAGGATATAGATCCAGTATTTTCGTTCTATCTGAGCCGGTGGGTTCTTGTTTACGACGTAACAATAATAATATTGCTCTGTATGGCTGATATTCCAGTGGTTTACTTTTACGTTTTCCAGTGATTTCTGACTTAATATTTGCTTATTTGGAATACAGATTCACTAAAACTTAAATAAGTTTAAGTGGCTTTACATCTGTCCTCAACATAAATATCCCCCATAAAATTTAAGTGGAATACATCAGAAAGGAAATGGTTTGATACAATCGTAAAATCTGAGTATTAACAAACACTTTCTGCCTCCAAATTTTGGACTGAATTTAAAGAAATAATAATTTTAATTTAACAAATATCTCTGTGTGACCGAAGGTACACATCAACTAAAGTACTTGGCTAGTAATTCACTTACATTGTCCGTTAGATGGTTATGACGAACAGTGTCTTCAGTTGAACTTTCAATTACAGCTTCAGTACCATTGGAATACAAAGTGTTAGAGACAAGCATTAAATTCTGTGATTTCATGCAAATTTATAAATAGCGTTTATTCTCACTGCTGTTCACCTATTTGCAGAGAAACGATGTTAAACACTTTGCTAGCATTTTTAGTAATTTTTCAAATTCATGTCTGATATTTTGCAGGAAAAACGGTCTTGTTGGTGGAGAGATGGTGATTGGTGGTGTCAATCCTGAATATTTTATTGGAGATTTCGAAAACGTCCCTGTCATTTATGATAACAGTTGGTCTGTTATAATCAAAAGGTAGTCAATTGATGCTTGCATAATTTCATGGGCAAAGATATTATTTAAAACAATTAGTTCCTCTCGTGAATTCCAACAACACAACAAGAAGACGTAGTTTATCTGAAACGTGTAATGTATTTGCACAACACATCTCTGACATTCCGATCACATAATTACTTGTCATACACAGTTTTTATAGAAGGCAAGAAGGCACGAATAATTGCAATACAGGTTAGATTGTGAACAGGTCAAGGTCACGAATAGTGGGTAGGGAGACGCAAAGGTGTGGGCAAGAAGTAAATTGGTGTTTGGTTCTAAATTAGATTACAAATGCAGGTTTAAGGTAATAACAAATAACTTTTGGACATATAAGACCGGTTTAAGTCTTTTTATGGCTAAGGCTTCAATGAATTTCAGTATGTGGACTAACCAGGTATAAAAAGACTTAAACCGGTCTTATATGTCCAAAAGTTATTTGTTATTACCTTAAACCTGCATTTGTAATCTAATTTAGAACCAAACATCAATTTACTTCATAATATTTTCAGTCCCTTCTTTGTTTTGTTTTTTCGCTTTTTGTCTTTGTTGTCCACACCTTTGCGTCTCCCTACCCACTATTTGTGACCTTGACCTGTTCACAATCTAACCTGTATTGCAATTATTCGTGCCTTCTTGCCTTCTATAAAAACTGTGTATGACAAGTAATTGTGTGATCGGAATGTCAGAGATGTGTTGTGCAAATAGATTTCACTTTTCAGACAAACTATGTCTTCTTATTATGTTGTCGAAAGATATTATTTTTTCACGTGAATACTAAGGTCACAGAAAATGTGGAGTGGTTGTCACAGTTATGACTTCTAACCAAATTCTATTTAATATACACAGCATTTCCCACTTTTTCTAGTAATAAAAGTCATATATTCAAGCTAGCATCTGTTGGATGAGAGATGATTTGAAAATTCCAGATGACAAGTTAGTGGACAATCATTCCGCATCCCTAATTTCTCATAGTTGGTTTGAACCTAAAATACTCTCTTCTAGTACAAAGAAACCAGTCATTCGACCAACATCACCTCAACACATGAAAACCAATTACCCTTCTACCAAACAACATCACATATGCTGACTATCTATTTTTACGTGCGGTAAACACACAGAATCTGGCGTGACTACTTAGTCGCCAACTTTCACTGAGTTATTAAATAAAGCGTCATCTATTTGATTTTAATCTGTTGACAACCTGAGTGGTTTATCTGGAAACGATTCGCAGTTGAAATGCTGATGGTGTGTAGTCAAGGTGTCTCACGCAATCTCAGGTAGAAACTTTCATGGTGTGAGTAATTTCAGCATGGCTTGTATATGTTCACGAGTATTCAAGTGAAGAAAGCTATCAAAATGATTTAGTGAAGGCTGTTATTGGCCGAAGGTGCAAGAAATTCCGATGACAGCCGAAAGTTAATCAACAGACAGGGATTTCCCTGTTTGTGTGGAGATCACTGAGGAGAACTAAGTATTCCTATTGCGTCTGATTATTAGGATGAGTGGTTTTGTGATTGGAATAATTAATATCAATACCCGCTTCACTACATAGACTGGTTAATGCTTCAGTTATGTTTGTTTACCATGTTCAGCATGAAGATAAATGGAGTAGGTTATTGCAAAGAGACATGCATCGGTCTTCTAGACACTGGAACATCTTTGATATCAGGATCGGATGAATCGGTGGACACGATTAATTCTAGACTTGGAGCGAAGTTGAGTGGGGATGGGGAGTATGCGTTTAACTGTAAAGATATTAACCTACTCCTTCCTATTGAGTTTGTCTTCAAGAAGAGGAGCTATATACTTGAGGCGAAGAATTATGTGCTCAAGGTGAGTATGAGAATTCGGTTGAACATTCTGATTTTCTTGTGATCGGCACCTCGATGAGAATTTCCTCATCATTGCCACCGGTTTGCATTTAAGAAATGGCAACTTATTTTATAATACAGGTGAATTTCATCGTTTTTAAAATGGCCTAAGTTAGGAAAGAGTTCTCTTTTCGTAACCTCACTTCGAGTCCAAACAGTTATTTTAAGGTTTATATATACAGTGCTAGCTGATAACAAGGGTGAGACCCATCGACACAACAATGTACGAAAAATGTTGAAAAATAGAGAGGGTTTATTCCCAGTTACTTATGTAAAGATGAGTAGTCACTTGGAAATGACATATAGGAGCCAGAGAACGGTTCATTAAATGTGAGTTACAAAAAATGTTTAAAAATGGGCGAATACTGCATCAATTTCTTTACACAACAAAATTGTCACTAAAGACACTTTAGTAAAGGAGGCTAGATGAAATCATGTTTCAATACAGAGTCCCGAATATTCCTAATTGATTCCAGAAGCCTTGGTTATGTGAAATGTAAGTGAAATCCAGTCGAACTGCCTGGTTCCATTGCACATATGACTTTGAAGTAACTCTGTTCTGATGCTACGGGCCAAGAAGTAACATCGTGTTCCAGAATTGAGTTGTTATCTACTCTATACTAACTTGTTCATTAGACTACCATGCTGATAAGTGTTCATTGGCGTGTTTACACAATGTCCTGTTGGTAGAGTCCACGTATTTGAAGCCATTAAGCTGGTGAATTGACACTGAAGTCACCAAAGCCCACAACTTGTCTTTGCCGATTTGTCAAGCAAGTCCAGGTGAGGTGAAGCAAATGGCAAAGAAACTTCCTCGAAATGCTGTTGACAGAAGGCTTCAGAGAATTCCACTCAATTTATCTCCCTGTCTCTTCTTCAGTTTTGCAAAATACTGTTCCTTAGTTTCATTTTTTCCTCTCCTACATCGACAAGTGTCATCCAGCTTCACGATTATCATTCATCCTACACAGGAATAATCATCAATTCTATCCAAAATACTTGTTTCAGCTTCTAAAGAATGCATACTGCTTGTATTGTAAACAGACAGATTTAACTGGGGAAGTAGGTGAATTTCACACTTCCTATGGTTGTTCTAATTTTTATTTTCGAGACTTCGAATCAATGATATTAAATTCGTTTCTTTCTCGCTTTCAGGAAGCCAACTGGTTATACACACAGTGTACATCACCATTCGCTAGTAACGACGGTATCTCACCCGGAGTTTGGGTTCTTGGCAATGTATTTATGAGGAAGTTCTACACTGTATTCGATTTTGGTGAGAATGAGATATGGTTAGCTGGTGTTAACGATGGCTGAATTTCACTGTACCGAAACAAGTTAATAACTGATCATGAATAAAGACATAAAGACGTAATTTATCTGAGTCGTGTAATGTATTTGCGCAACACATTTCAAACAATCTGATCCATCACACACAGAATTGTCATAGGAATATATATGAAATTAATAAAGAATTAATAGATGATGTCAAGTTAAAAGGACATATTCAGGGTCAAAATAACAATGAAGACCACTGAACCAAATAACATAGGTAATAGCACATCTGCTATGGTATCAAAACAAAGCTAACCAAAGAAGATTTTGCGTGATGACGAATTATTTTTGAAAGCATAAATAATTTCCGCAGAATAATTTACGAACTTCTTATTTGTACGAATCATTTTCATCCAAGTCCTTCTAGTAACTGCAGAAATATCGAAAATGTGGTTCCGGGTTTAATATTTCATATCTGAGATTAGAGTGACTATGTCGAAATACATTTCACTGAACATTAAGGTGTCTTCATCATTGATCTGTGGACAAATCAATGTAGAATGGTGAAAAAATCAACTGCAAAACGCATTTGTTTAGAACCAGTGAATAATAACTAATAAATTTGGCATCAGTTGTTTCTGGACTTGAAAATGATATCTTTTAAAAACCTGCTAAATGCATTCCCATGAATTACTTATCCCATAATTCTAGCATGAATGACTACTTTATCAAATAAGAAGGTATCTAGGTTTGACGGTTCAACTGCGAAACTTTCATTACCCTTTAAGACAATATCTATAGAGTTAAGTCCAAGTGAGGTGAGTTTATGAAATTCTTCATGAATGAAGTATTCGTCTCTCCTGGTGACTACTGCAATTGGCTGCTGTCGTAGATGTCCCTATGATTGTACTCACCTGCATGGATACTGGTCTTCTTGTCATCCCTATTTTAGACCCTTCTCTCCTGTCACCTATTCTTCATTGCTTGATAAATTGCATCCACATCAACATGTCGACTAAGTGAAAACTGATTTGTCTACAGGAACTCCAGGGATTCTTTGAAATACTTAATATTTCCCCTCTATAATATATTTGCATCACCCGAGTCGATTTTGTGTCAGTAGTTGTCTGCGTGAATTGATATGAACGAGTGTATGTCGCTACTTTTGATTACTAGTTTGTATTCAAGCATGTGAAGATGAGTAGGATGGCCTCTCTGGCCAATATAGTTCATGCAATCTATTTTACAGTCAAAGGTTGTTTAATCATCTAGTAGTCTTGTAACAACAGAAGACAAGGGCCAGGCAACAGATCGTTTTATTATAAAAATCAACACGTACTTATATATATTTCACATACATTATTATAGCTTATGCAGGTAGAAAAGCGCAGCCATCTGATTGGTTGTTTATCAGAAGTTAGGCAGACAAACGCAGGCTTCTGATTGGTTGTTTCGGGATTCCTCAACAAATAGAGTTCTCTATCGGCGAATCATATTTTGCCACGTTAACCTTGCTGTGACTGGTTGTTGAATCAGCCTTGCTCATATTTTCTCACGGCCTGCTCTCACCACAGTCTCACCTTTCAATTTACATGGTATGGAGTGAAGCTGCTCCATTTTGAAGTAGAACACATATTCCACATACAAAGTCACTGCCTTTTTCAGCAAGTGATTTTAAGTGAGGCACGATTAGGTTCAAAAGGAGTTAGCGTTATTAAGAAGGAAAACAAAACCGACCTAAAAATCAAGAATTGTTATTACTTGATGTGCATGTTGAATGGTTATACGTGTTAGAATGTTAAGAACCAGTCTTCAAGACTTCTAGTTACATACCTCAAAATACCCCACAATAGCTCAGATGTAGTCCTATTATCTTCTTCCAGTCATTCAATCAGTACTTCAGCGAAGTGTGTCAACCCAAAAAGATTTTAATTTGTTCAATTAATCAGTAATGCATTTCATTCTGATACACTGAACTTCTTAGTCCCCTATGAAACCACCTTCGTTATGAAAATCTGAACCTAGCAGTGTCAACATGACTCAACCCTTATCTGTCTCCTACATTTGTATTCAGTCATATAACAAAACAAAACATTTACGTTTATAAGCATTGCAACATTTTTAGGTGGCAGATGAGACATTTCTTCTATGTCAACTAACTCCGCACTCATTACTGTGACTGGTATCTTTTAGATGTCCATTTGTCTATTCCAGGAGAGATTTGGACTTGTAGAAACATAGCTTCGAAACCATTCTGTTTAATTTCTCCAGTTTACTATCACGGAAGAGTTTCATATGTCTCACAAACGCCTAACACAACTTTTGTGTATACTTCAACCGAAGAGTATTTTGAAGTGGATTTCTAATTTTTCGTCCATGAAAACTAAAGCTTGAAGGCGAATGTAAAACTAATAATCCCATTGCTGTTGCTCAGTGTATGAGTTAATGGGAAAGCCTCTAACAGCTTTTCTCAAGATATGTTTCTATCTGTCAAATTCAGACACTGAATAGTAAAGGTGGTGCATAGAATGTGAAAGAATTACACGATTCGAATGTGAATATCTCTAGCATTCAACATGTTCATTCCACAACGAAATTAAGTCAAAAATCGGTTGACTAATACATTTAAACCACTGTATTGTGAAGTTCATACTTTTTGCAAGTGCCACTCCAATTCGTTTGATTAAGGCCTGTGTGATGAATAAAATCTCTAGGCTAGTCGACCATTATAGAAAAAAGAGGAACCCGTATGATTTCAGTGTCACCATGAAAATTGTTTTCTAATATTACACGTTCTTCTACTTTAAGTCTGTTAACCACAGTAGTATCAAGACAATTCTAATATCAGTATTAAAATTAATCAAATTCTTTGACTATTTAACTTTAAAACACAGTCCAATATCATTCAAATCTAATACATTAAGAGTAAAATATATATAAAACTTTCGGAATAAATGAGCTCAGATTTCAACGTTCAGTGGTTACTGATCAAGTAGGATTTATATGCATGTGAATTATTCCAAATGATTTAAGAGCAGCATTTCCATTGCTACTAACTAGCATGTGTTGAGAGAATGCAATTTTGCACTATTTTCAGTCACAGGGAAATCGTAATACAGTAACAAATCTGTATTTCTGTGCTTTCGATATATTTGCTCTGACAAAAGTCATGTAAAGTGGAATATCGCTTTCGAGGCATTATGACAGAGATGTGTAGTCTGTAACAATACGATTTTACGTATTTTGTTGTTAGATGTTAAAAATAGAAACACTGTACACAACGTTTGTAGAAAACGATTCTTATTGAAATATACATAACTGCCAAGTACAATCAAAATAAAGAAAAAAATGCAGTTTGCTGCCCGCCAATTCACATTCTCGCTAGTCTATACTGTCTACTGGTTTCACTACAAACCGTGTTGTATACTTTGGATTTCACAGGAACCTTTTATCTTCTTCCGAAGACTATTCTACAATCAGTGCACAGCACTACTAACAGACACGTCTTCAGCAGTGAACACTATTGTAGATTATATTAATAATTTGTAGCAGTGAATTTTAACTGTATAAATAAGTAACTGAATAATTTATATAACTAATTCTGTATTTTTCATAACATAATGCTATACCATCCCCTCATTTACTTGAATTTTCATTCAAATACCTGTTCTCTTACTGGGCTCACTAAAAAGTCCTCTACGGCGGATGCCCTCAACATTAGAATCTTTCATCCGACTTTGAAAATTTCAGTGCTACCTTGTAAATGCAGTCCGTTATTTATTTTTTTTTTTTGAATATAGCTTGATTCCATACTATATTTTTGGTACAAGTATGGAAGTTTCAGCATAGATATCGGTAGCACAAATTTTGCAGGCCGACCATAGATATGAGGTGTGCGTTAGTAAGTATTCCTACATTCCTGCTCTTGGATGACACCAGCATTCATGTTTTCTCGAAGCGATGTAAAGTTTATCTCAAAACCACTCACTTGTGAGTGGTGGATTGATTAAAGTTTACATGTTCTGACACGGTTTCATCAACCAGAGTGTTTATTTAGTAACAACTTACTACTCATCTTACTTGACATGTGAATACTTTTTCACAGTTTATAAACTCCAGTCATCTGTAAAGTGTTCGTGAATGAGACTGAGAAGTTTACACAAAGATATAGGTCAGCAAAGAGAACTACTTCTGCAAATTATCATTAAAGCTCTACTGTTGGATTAGATTTACTGATAGGTCATGGAAATCGCCCGTGTGAAGCTAAGTGCATAGGATTTAATAATAAGACACTACCTATATATTCATTTATTGTTCTTGCCAATTCCTCAGCAACAGACATATGAGCAGGTAGCAGGAATTTTCAACTAGAGGCGTATTCCTTTTATTTTGATTTATGTAATATGACTTCCAGAGTATTTTCATGATCTCATTTGTAGCAAATTTATGAGTGATCTCTTTCATTTCTTTTTCCTAAACTCCTACCTTTTATTCAAACTTCTGTGTATATGCCCAGCATATTTATATCGTAAATAATATTCTTCTCTTCAAGCATCAATCTTTCAATAATCATTTCAAAACGCTGTTTGTCAATGAACTTCTCCGAATAGGCAAGATTATACAAAACAAATTTCACGGTATATCAATTCTTCGTCTGACATACAGTTCGATGTATTTTACTTCTTATTGTAATTGATGCAGGATTTCCACTGACAGTTTCCTTAACCTCTCAGAAACACCAAAAAGTAGTTAGCTGTTACGATGAAAAATAATTGATTATTTTATGAAAATAATTGTCAACTACCACCCTCAATAAGCCCGTTATAATCAACTTATATAATCGTCATTTTCTTTGGTCTATTCGACAGTATATTTCTACATTTCTGTCTGAAGTGAAATGGTAGATAGTTGTGTAAACAAACTCTTTTGCACATTCATCACATTTCTCAAGATGAACTTCGTCTTCTAGTAACA